AACATTGCTTCGAAGGTCGTCTTGATTTATCTTATTGGAATAAAATATCTAAAAATGATAAAATCAGTAGCTTTTGTTATCTTGCTGAACTACTTATTCTACTTTAGTGATTGTGGAACACTACCAGCTGCTCAAATAGCTGAGCAAACCCTGATAACAACCTTGTTAACTGGATATAATAAAAATATAAGACCAAATACTACAGTATCTGTTGATATCACTGCTCAACTACAACAAATTGTAGCAATAGATGAAAAACAACAAGTAATGACAACAACTTCATTTATTTCACAAACATGGTTCGATGATCGATTGTCCTGGACACCAAGTAGTTCAAACGATAATATTAAAGTAGTTATGCTTCCAGTTACAAGTTTATGGATACCAGATACAATGATATTGAATTCAGCAGACTCAAGTGGTTATCTTACAGTGAATACATATAGTTTGGCATCTGTTAATTATTCCGGTCAAGTCTATATGATTTTACCAGCATTAACAGTAAAAACAAGATGTAATTTTAATGTTCGATATTTTCCATTCGATAAACAATTATGCGGTATTAGTTTAACATCATGGAGTCAAGGATCCGGTAGAATAGCATATACAGAAGATAAGAATGCAGTAATTGACATTAGTGGATATACTGAACATCCTTTATGGGCACTGAATGGAACAGATTTAGTTGTAATTCAAGCAGAAGATAGAACACCATTTGAAGATACTTCTAATGATGTAATATCAATACAATTGTATTTACAAAGAAAACCATTATATTTTATTATGAATGGTATATTTGCATGTTGGGTTTTAAATTCCGTTACTTTACTATCATATTCATTACCCTTTGGATCACAAATTGGTTTATGTAAGAATATTATTTTTGTTTTTCTTGAATACAAAATTGAACTTAACGTATTTGTATTTTAGGTATGACATGTTTCATGACATATTCTGTTTATTCATTGAATTTTTCGAATCTATTTCCACAACAGTCTCAATATTTAATGATGATTACATTATACTTTTTGTTATCAATATGTTGGACATTAATATCAATGGCATGGTTTATCTTATGTAATCATTTTATATCAAAAGCTGAAATGCCAAAATTTCTTTATATTTTTTCTGGACTGTTGCAAAAAAAAGTATTCTTTTATTTTTTTCCACCACCAAAAGATGATAAAACAAAGAATGTTATTGTTGAAAATGGTGACTTAAAGAAGTCAGAAGATAAAGCAAGTACACAAGCAACAGGTATTCAAAAAACGAAATGTGCTTCTTGTCAGAAATTATTTCCTTCGTGTTTTCGACGACATATTAAAGTTGAAAGCATTGACAAGGGACAGCATACTTCCGTTGAAAATGAAACATCTATGAATAAAAGTACCACTGACGATGCCCGAATTGAAACACCAACATCTGTAGTTATTGACGAAACAAACAAGAAAGCGACGCCAAAGTGCGATTTTTGCAACAGATGCGAAACATGCCAAGCTGATTTCGATAAAGATAAAGGAAAAGGAAAAAATAAAAAAGACATCGAAGGTAGATGCGCCGCATTAAACTATTTGGTATTTTTCTGCATATTATTGTTTATGTTTATTTCTGAATTGTCAGTATGGATCTTAATGGCAAATAATTGACTTTAACTTTTTTTCTTTGACTATAATATTTTTGTCAATTATTATTAAAATAAAAAATAAAATAATTGGATACTTCGAAAAGAATGGGTGTGGGTACTAATCGTTTACTCTTCAGATCACGCCAAAATGACGTTTGTTAAGGGCTGATCTCTTAAATGCTGCTTTTTAACAGCATGAAATATACACAAAACTTTCTCTCGAAGTCGAATAAAGATGTGTTTGTTACCATTTACTATCAACACACCTACTTTTGTTCTATTCTTATGCGTCTGTTATCATACAGAGGCCTTATCTTAGAGGTGGATTATAATCGTTTTGTGCTGTTGACAATGTAGAACAGGATAAAATTATCTGTCCGTTTACACAACAACTAAAATACATGGATGTCCTTGCTTTTTTAGCTGTTTGTGCAATATGCTCTAGTTTTTATTAGTGCATTTATCAGAATCGCACAATATGAGAAAAAAGACCATAGTAATGAAGATATACATATGTATTAGTAATGCTTTGATTAAGCGTTAAAAGTTTCAACACGATCATACGATGGTATCAAACATCAGTGCTACTCTTATATAAATAGTGAAGTAATGAAAAAAAAGAAATGGTATTTCACTTTCTTGATTCAATTCAACAAACAATAGATGTAAAGAAAAATAATAACAATGATAATGCTACGTGTAACCTGCGCCTTATCAACTACGTTTAAATAAAAAAAGAAGAGAGATCGTTATCATTACCTTTATAAAGACAGTAGCATCTACAAGTCCTACATTTGTTATTTAGTTAGATATCGACTACTATCTAAAGAATTTATATTATAATCAAGAAAAATATGAAATCTGCATTTATTCTTTTGCTTATTTTCGGTAAGACAATTACAAATGAATCAATAAACATTTTCTTTTCTTGTTTATATCGAAATAGGATGCATCGGCACAATCAGCACGTACGAATGTCATAGTTGTAGCGGTAGTGATTGTGCTGATCCATATGGAGGTAGGACGAAAGTGAATATTCCAGGCGCAGTGTGTAAAGTATGTATTCTTGGAAACATGTCTTGTTGTCGTAACAACCTCATACACGCTTGCCATTTTTGTTTTTCAGAAAGAGAAGACAGAGTCAAAGGGTGGCAGCAGCGTGTCACGCAGTGCTGAGCCGAACGTTCTTCATTGCATTGGAGGCATAAATGGATGCGGAAAATATGAACAATACGGTTATACGCATATTGTTTGCTGTTGTACGACGGATTCGTGCAACGGTGTGTCAGCAGTAAAACAACAACCTCTCGTTATCTTCGTCACAATTGGCGCACTCATCATGCTCGCATATCAGTGGTTTTAACGTATAAACATTCTTAATCATCTAAACAAAATTTTTTCAATAATATTTTCTTGTGCTCCCGATTGACTTTCAAAAATACTTCCTTTTATAATACGATAAAGCTTGTTATTACATATTATATCTATTAGATGCTACTGTTAAATTCTCTAATAAAGCTTTCATTTTACACAAGAGTTTCAGTTAATTTTGTTTAATAATATTAATTATTTTTATGTGAGGGTGGGTGTAGAGGGAGTCTCGAAGAAAAAAAAGCAAAGAATTAATAAAGAAAATACGTAGAAAGAGCTATTAGTATGAGAGGAGAAAAATTGAAAAAGTAATCATACAATGAAGAAAAAAAAATTCTGCATCTTCCCGTACTTTCAAAGCATCATATATAAATCTTTCCGTGTTTTAGAAAGCCCATCCTTCAATACCCTGCTTGTTTTTCTGCACCATATTCCTGTTAAAATTGAGATGGAAAGTAAAAATGTGTTCGTCGTTGTTTCCATCGAAGTCCTGATGAAAAGGTCCTGACAACCAGGGATGCGATTGAGGAAGACGTGTATGCATATCTTCTTTTTTTCCTTTCATAATGAAAGCCCATTTTATTTCAATATCGACCTGTCTGATTCGATCGAAAGGTTTCGTCCATTGGTGATCGAACAACATTTTTTCAAGCTGATTTTCATCCACCATCATTGGTCCAGCGGAAATTAACTCAAGATTAGGTAGTTTTTGTAGAATTTCTTCAAAGTCAGACATTACTATGCCACTAGCTTTGAACGTAATCATTTTCAAGCTTGGAATAATATTCTGCGGTAGTAATGAGGGTGTATCTCGTGTCAAAAAACCGATTTGTAGAGAGCGCAAGCTGGGTAGTTGGTGAAGAATAGAATGAAGACAGCTCGTATAAATTTCGGTTTCAATGTTGAAATGTTCAATACAATTGTTTGATGAGAGAGGATCATTCTTCAATTTAGACGTAAAGTAAAGATCGCGCGCGTTCAAGATACAAAAGCGAAGTTTGGGTAAAGAGAAAATTATTTCAAGTATATCTTCTATATTTTTTGAAGGCCGATATCGAATATTTAAATATTCAAGAAGGAAAAATTTTGATAGAACTGAAGAGATCGGACTGTTGCCGTAATCATTGACGTTGATTGTGAGCGATTGGATATGTTTCAAATGGGACATATGCAAATCAACAAATCGATGCACATTTCTATCATACCGACCGCCGCTCAGTGATCGAATATTTTTGATAAAAATGTGTGGAAATTCAACTTCGTTCTCCTTTAAACGGAAATAAATTTGAAGATATGGTGATCGAAGTAGAGAATCGAAGAATATGTTTAGATTAGCGAAGGCTTCAATGAGATCATGACCTTCCAAATACGAACATACCCTCAACAACAATTCGACTGGCAGTTGCTCGATACATGTTATTGATGCCATTTTCTTTATGATAATGTTGCTTGTGCAGATACGTATGTCAGTATATATCTTTTTCTCCTTTTTTTTATTCTTCAGAAACGTATAGCGTATGAGAAGAATAGTGTGTGCATGCATATCTGCGCAATAGTCGACCAGAGAAAAAAAACTGACTTTTTTCTTCTCTACGGTGTTCTTATAAAAAACAATATTGACGTACGCGATATTTTATAATGTGCGTGAGTAAATATGTATATAACTATACTTTAGTCGATAGCGCTGCATGCCGTTAGAAAGAACACAGCAAGAGCCATTTTAAAACGTTATTTTTTTGCAGTTTTATCCTCAGAAATTGAAGAATGG